TCTTAAGAAAAAAATTTTAATGACTTTACGTGGTAGGCATTGTAAAGAGGGGCAACTATTATCACCAAAATCTTACCCTTGTTACTTTATCGTAACTTTTTTTTGTTGTAAAATATCATAAAAAAAGAAAAGAAAAAAATCAATTGGTATAATTAGTTTAGGTTAAAAAAAGAGGAAGGGGTTAATTGAAGAAATGAAAAGTTTGGAGGCGAGTAAAAGGGACAATTGAGGGTCCAATAAAAAAAAAAGCAAAGCTTCAATTCCTTTTTCTTAAGTTAAAGGGGGACACGATTAGAACAAATTAAAAAAAATGTCCCAATTAATTTAAATTTAAGGAGTCCATAGAAGCGAGAAAACCAAGATTGAACTCAAATTGGTGCATGGAAGGAAGTTAAGGACCAAAATGACATTTGCTTAAAAACCCTACACATAAAACCACCTTTAAATTTTTTCTTAAAAAAAATCTACTCGTTCATCTCTCTTATTTTGAAGAAATTTTTTCAGCCGCCACTCTCTATCTACTACAACTCAAAGCTCCCACCTCACAAAATCACACTAGACCATCTCCTCCCTAGCCTAAAATAGCCACTTCCCAAGCTTCTTTTCACCCAACATAACAAGCAACTCCAACTCGTCATACCCACATCTTTCGACCTCTCTCTCTCAGCCTTTCCCTCTCACCCACACACACCCACAACACACTACACATACCTATAACCATTCATACCAAGCCTATTCCCACGCCAAGGCTCCCTTACACGTAACATAGCAAGCTCGTGAACAAGTAGCCCATATATACCTACACCTTCCTCTCACCATACTATCAGTCTTGCCTCGCATCAAACCAAGCATCATCGGCCACTTTAGCTCTCTCTCGCGACCTCACCCATACATAGATAGCCAAAGCTCCGACCCTTTCCTCGCCTTTTTAACTTATTGCCTAAACACATACATATACAATCCATAACTCCTAGCAAAGCCCCTCTCACAAGCAACCTAAACTCCAACCCCTAAACTCAACAACCAATCCCCATTCCAGCCTATTGCAAAGCCCTAAAGTACAAAAAAAACCCAAAACTCGACATGAAAAACATGTTAAAACCCCTTAAAAGCTAGCCCTAAACATGCCTACCAATCCCTACTCTAGCTTTGAAACACACCCCAGCAGACCCCCTACTTCCGACCGAAACATAGCCACCAAAACCCCCATTCTAGCCTCCTTCACACAACATAAAAACCAGCCAAACCAACCCCAAAACATAGCCATCAAACCCCCCCAAATAGCCCTTTAGATAGCACCAAGACACCTCAAGATCGGATATGCAAAACCCACCAAAAACCCTCTAAATCGGCCTTGGAATAGTCACCAATAACCCCTAAAAATACCTCCAAAAAACCTCCTTTGGACAACCCCCTTAAGTCAGTAAAACATCTCAATCCAACTTTAAGATAGCTCGAAACATCCACCAAAATAGCCACAAAACCTCCCTTAAAATAGCCTCATGACACTTTTGGAGTTACTCGAAAAAAGAGAAAACAAAAGAAAGAAAAAGCTAAAAAGAAAAGATAAAAATTTTCTTGTGTTAGATTGTGTTGGCATAAATAACATGATATTCTAGATTGTAACTTTTTTTATTTTTGACAAGAAATACATCAACAAAAGTCACTTTGGGTTTTTAAGAAACTCTATAAAGTTTCGAAACTCTGCAAATTTTGTAACAACCTTGGAGTATTTGTACAAGAAACAAAGGATTTTTTTTATCATTTTAGTGGGACCCATGATACATGTTGCAAACAAAAAGTTACTCTTCTTTTCGACTAAGTTTATAATCGGTTTTCATCGAGATCGAAGAGAGTAAAACTAACTTTATTTCGGATGTTAATATTTTAGAACTTTTGGGTAAAATTCCAAAACTATTGCTTTCTGTTCTTGAAAAATAATGGTTAAAAATGATTGGATTTTTTGATTGTATGAATGAAATTTTTACATGACACTTGAACATTCACGTATTGAATGTCTTCAAAATAAGTGTTCTTGTAATTAACCATTATGAACAAACTGTTTTGTTTACTATGTTACATCTCGTTTGCCTAAATACGAAGTTTGTGCTTGTTCTTATGATTGATTGATCAACCGTACTCGATTATAATGTTGAGATGAAGTCGTCGGTAGTTTTTCACTTATGTGATGAAGCTATCGGTGGTTTCAAAATCATTTTATCTCGTTTATTGTTCTTGATTTTTTTATGTTTGTTTTTCCTTACTTTTGTTCCTTATTTCCCGATTCTTATTTTCTATTGTTTGTTTCTTATTTTATCCAAACGAAGTCATTAGTGGCTTTCTACTTATGTGACAAAGCCGCCGGTAGCTTCAAAATAATTTTTATTTAATGTCTACTTATTTGAAACGAAATCACTAGTAGCTTTTCACTTATGTGACGAGCTCGTTGATGGCTTCTAAATAGTTGTCTACTCCTTGCTCGAGCTAAATAAAATGATCGATAACTTACAAATTATGTGATGAGGTTATCGTTAGCTTCAAACTTATGACTCGAAGTAATCGATGGCTTTCCACTTGTGTGAGCGAAGTCGTCGATGAGTCGTTGCTCATGCCAATAAAAGGCTATTCATCTTTAAAAACTCAGCCTATTGATTGATAATAGGTCATGTTCACTAATGATTAGTCGAAATTCAAAATTCCCCCACCTTTCTCCTTTGGGTGGGGAGTATTGGCCTTGGGTCGGTCTAAACACCCGAACTATCCTGTTTTGTACTCAAACCATCATACTTCATATTTTTACAAAATGAACTCATTTGGATAGGCATATAAGTATAACTTAATAAAAATCATATTTTTTATATATTTATAGGTAAAAAATACGACTTACCTTAGGTAGGACGAGATGGTAGTAATGTCATGTCTTCCCCATATGTAATCGACCTCTTACTCGGATATCCATGTAGACCGGTATGTTTAGGATTTTCTAGTTTTCTCCGATAAGCTAGGTGGCAACTCCTTGTTTTGACCTCCCCTCGCGGTGGCTAACGTTAACAAGAGCATAGTTGTTTTACTCTAAAGCTAAGACATTTGGAAATTGAAGAAAAACTTATGTGATCATATCGAATAGACTATAAACAAGTTCGAGATCACATTGTGATAAATTGACATGAGGACTCGAATTGTATGGTAACTATGCTCGTGAAAGGTAATTGCGGATTAATTAATCCTCCTAGAGAATTGGATAGTCATGATGCCTTGCTAGAATCTTATATATGAAGAGATAAAAAATGTGCTTTTTATTCTTAATACATTGCCAACATATCTAGGAGCCTATTGGGTCACACAAATAATTTAAGCATTCACATAATAAAAGAGAAGTAAAGATTTTGAAAAAGATTTCCGAGTTTTGAAAGTTTTCTATTTTGGAAAAGGTTTTTGAAAATGGAAAGTTTCATATTTTGAAAAAAGTTTTCTATTTTGGAAAAAGTTTCCTAAAATGGAAAGCTTCCTATTTTAGAAATCAGTTTCCTAATTTGAAAGTCGATTATCTAAAAATAAAATTAGTTTCCTAATTTAGGTTTAAGAGTAATTTAGGAAATTATTTTCTAATGTGGACTTCTTAAAAATATTTGACCCAATTTTGGATAGTCCAAATTAATTCGCCCAAAAGAGTTTGGGCTAATAGGCTTAATTTAAAAGTTTGTAAGATATTTTGATAGGAGGATAAAATTGAGCCCTAAAAGTCGAGGGTTTACAAGGATAAGATCAAATAAGTCCACACATAATGCAACTCCTTGTCCTTGGAGGACAAGGATGCCACCCCTATATAAATAATAGTGAAAGAGGTGGCAAAAAGGAATAAGTGAGAGACACACACGACGAAAGAAAAGAAAAGAAAGAAAAAGTGTTTCTCTCTCCAAAAGCCCAAGTTGCCGTATCCCTCCTTAAAAGCTTAAGTTATCATAAAAACCCTAATTGATTTCTTTAGAAAGCAAACCAACTATATAGAAGAGTTGGAGCTAGCACTTTGCGATTTCTTGGCTTCCTTTGTAGGTGTTTAAGTTGTATGAATTATCAATACGGGCGGACACTCGATGGCTTTTTTTTTTTTTACAAAGGCTAAATTTGTGCTATAAGAGGAATAAGTGAGAGACACACACGGCGAAAGAAAAGAAAAGAAAAAAAAGTGTTTCTCTCTCCAAAAACCCGAGTTACCGTATCCCTCCTTAAAAGCTTAAGTTATCATAAAAACCCTAATTGATTTCTTTAGAAAGCAAACCAACTATATAGAAGAGTTGGAGCTAGCACTCGCGATTTCTTGGCTTCCTTTATGGGTGTTTAAGCTATATGAATTATCAATACAAGTCGAACACTCGATGACTCTTTTTTTATAAAGGCTAAATTTGCGCTATAAGAGGTAATCTTTTACTCACACTTTTAGTTCATGTATTTATGATTAGTTGATTCAATGGCTTGATCTTAGGAGCCTTAGATGAAAAAAAGTTTTTATTTTATTCCGCACCTCCATAGGATGCATGATCCTTCGAGCTACCTTTTTTATTTGTGCAATTTTTTTTCAACCTTAAAATCTAAAAAGATCATAAGCGAGTAGTTATAGTTTAGATTTATAAGTTAATTTGATTCATTTATGCATAAGATTGAGATATTTATTATCATGCGAACGTTTTCCAATCATCTTTTGCTATAGGCCATCATAAAAAAAAAAAATAGGTGGAAAAAAATTAATATATTTAGTCCAAAAATTAACGAAATGATGAAATTAAGACAAAAACCAAATGTAAAGTGATGAACTTAAGATGAAAAAAGAGTTGAGAAATACGAGAAAGACGAAAGAACAAAAAAAAAAGACCTCTGCAACTATTAATTTTTATTTTTTTATCATCAAAATAGGTGTAAAATGTTAATTTTATCTTAAAATTATTGAATTTTTGGTGAATTTTGAATATTTTAACCGCCACTTCCTAATAGAAACTATCAGCATGGACCAACTTGTGAAGCAAAAGGAATCAGCAAAATTTAGAAATTTGGTGACTGGTTTGTTAGTTTCTTTTTTACAGGTTTTGGGACTAATTTGTAGTTATCCAAAGATTATGTAAGAGATGACGACAACAAATCCAAACACATTCGTGGAATTTTTGAACCAAGCATAAATTTCACTTTATAAGAAGACTCTTTCATTGAGTAGTTGTCCCATGAACCCAACTCCTGCCGAGCTGAGCTGAGCTTCTAAAACCAAGCAAAAAGTTTATTCGCAGAGGAGCCGTTCTATTTTATAACATTGCTGTCTGTGAATAACTATAGATGGACAGGTCTGGAGGGATGCATGGCTTTGGTGGTGGTGAAAGAACTCCTCTTCTCAGTCGAGGAGTAAGCTTCCTTTATTTTGTGTTTTCTTTTTCTTTGCCATCTCTAGCTAGTCCATCGTACCCTTTACGCTCATTTTTTTGGGAAATTTTAGGAGTTTTGGTCGATTTTATCTACTTATATTGTTCAACCGCTGACTTTGCTTTGAACCTTTTTCAGATTTAAACTCATCTTCTTGTTTCCTTCTATATAATCTAACAAAAAACAGCATTTGCGTCAATTTCTTCTACTTAACAAGTGCTTGTTGTTTCCGGTTTTATGTTTCACTTGCCTTCTTTAGCTGCCTTGTTTCCAAGAATTTGTTTCCTAACTATTCTTTCTTTCTTTTTTCCCTGATTTCTTACCCTTTATAAAGGGGGAAGAAAGGGGAATAATGATGCATCTGAAAATAATCAGCTCGCGGACCTTGAGCGTGGAGATGCAGTGGCAGTAAGTGCATTTCATGTTAGCTTCTTTAAATTCTTGTCCTAGCGTTTGATTGTTAACATGTTGACTCTATTTATGAAAATTTCAGGCTGCAAATGTGGGATTTGGTCGAGTACTTTCACTTGTAAGTGCGGACGTGGTGTTTCTCATTGGAAGTATACAAATGTTGATCTTGCTAAGCTTTTCTTGTCATGCAGGCAAAGCCTGATACGGGAAAGCTGATTATTGCTACGGTAGCTCTACTGATTGGATCCACATCAAGTATACTGATTGTGCGTATCTTTTGTGATTCTAGATTCTTTGTAGTCTTTCCTGTGGTTTCTCTTGTTTTCAGGCATCGCTGTTTCTTGGGTTTTGATAACGTTTGGATTGTTAATGCTGCAGCCTAAATTTGGTGGGAAGATTATAGACATTGTGTCGGGAGATTTAGAAACGCCTGAACTGAAAGCTGAAGCTTTACGTGCGGTCAACAACACCATACTAGAAATCTTTCTTATTGTCATAGTTGGGTATGACTGTTGTTTTCCTTGGCCTTTTGATTGGTTTACTTTTTAATAGTAAAAGGTTTACCTCACCCTTAAGCTTCCTAGATATACAACCTGCTTAATTCTGATACATTATCATATTCCTCAACAAAAACTGCCATGTGCATATGTACGATGGACTGATATTATCTTAATGCACTGGCAGTCTGGTTCTAATTGTTTCATCTGTTAATTGATGGGATTCATGAAAAGGAATGAAGTTTTAATCAAATTTACTCACATGATGATTTTTGGGGATTTTCAAGGGGTTTATTAATCTTAATTGACTGTTTCTCCATTCAGTTCGGTTTGCACAGCACTCAGGGCTTGGTTGTTTTCTGCCACTAGTGAAAGGGTTGTTGCTCGGTTGAGAAAGAACTTATTTAGTCACCTTATTAACCAGGTAAAAAATTACTACAATTGGAGTTCCTTGTAGTGTTTTCTCTAACTCATTATCCTCTATTGGCTATGAAAGAGCGGGTATACTCTTTTTGCTTTCTCCTCTGTTTCACATGTATTGTATTTGACAATGGTTCGGTGGATTTTGCAGGAGATAGCCTTCTTTGATGTAACTAGAACTGGAGAGCTACTAAGCAGGTTATCTGAAGATACCCAGATCATAAAAAATGCTGCAACCACAAATCTTTCTGAGGCCCTAAGAAATGTGTCAACTGCACTTATCGGTCTTGGCTTCATGTTCGCAACATCCTGGAAGCTGACTTGTAAGCATTTAATCATTGCATTGTTTGTACATGAACTTCATTTTTTCATTAGTCCACAGTGCTCATCATGCCCTTTTTTTATTCATTTACTCCTAGTGTTGGCTTTGGTTGTTGTACCGGCTATTTCTGTCGCTGTACGTCAATTTGGCCGCTTCCTTCGTGAACTTTCTCACAAGACTCAAGCTGCAGCTGCAGCTGCTGCTTCAATTGCTGAGGTATATTTTTGCCATTAAAATTGTGATTGTCGCTACTGAACATAGAAAATTGATGAGGGATGACATAATCCATTGATCAATATTTCATCAAATGATAGTCTGAAGAATTTTCATAAGAATTGAGAACTGCTATATGACGAGTGAGATGGTATAAACACGGTAATATATAGAAGCTTTTTCACTGCTATAGTGCTTTTTCTTATATTTGTTTCTGCTGGTGAACCTACATAATTAAGTCTATGAATCTGATACTGTGATGCAGATGGAATGCACAGCAAGAGGTCAGTTAAATGTTTTTTACTGCAAATGTTGAACATGTAAATTGATGTAAAATTATGCTAAAAGATGATGCATAATGGGAGTAAATGCTAAGATCTTGAAGGAAAATTAGGTCACGTAACTGATATAGAGGAAAGCTTTTAGTATGATAAATTTTGATTTTGATTTTTTTGGTGTGACAATTTGGTATGATTACAATGTGAAGGGTCTACTTGCATCACCGTACTGAAATGCTAAATCTTGAGCAAGGATGATATCCTCTCAATATGTGGTTTTGATGCTATAATTTACATATTATATCTGCATACAGTTGTAAATCACATTTGAACTATATGACATGACTGATGCTTAGGAATCTTTTGGCGCTATACGGACTGTCAGATCTTTTGCACAAGAAGGTTATGAGATTTCACGCTATTCTGATAAAGTTGATGAGACATTAAAGCTTGGACTTAAGCAAGCTGTAAGTTCCCTTGTGTTGTTTGATCTCCGCTTCAACCTCGCCTGAACATAAACAACACACGCCCCATCCAACCTATAAAAGAAATAAAAGAACTCTCTGTCCTTTTTTATGTGGAGCTTTTGATCTAGCTATTGCCTGGTACAGAAAGTGGTTGGACTCTTCTTTGGAGGTCTAAATGCAGCATCAACCCTCTCAGTGATCATAGTAGTGATATATGGAGCTAATTTGACAATTACAGGGTCTATGACCACTGGTGCTCTTACATCCTTCATTCTCTACAGCCTCACAGGTAAATGGACGCAGGATACCATTTTGCACGTGATGAAATTATTACCTAATTTGGGCAATTTATTTTGACGGTATCAAATTATCAATATCAAAATCTCTGGAGTCCAGTTTGATCGACTTGTTGCAACTAATTTCACTTGCAGTTGGCGGCTCCATATCTGGCTTGTCGGGATTGTACACGGTAGCAATGAAAGCTGCGGGTGCCAGCAGGAGGGTTTTCCAGCTTCTTGATCGTGTTTCATCCATGCCAAAGTCAGGAAATAAGTGTCCTTTGGGGTTAGTCATGAGATTCTTGTTCCTCTGTTGTGCCTGTGAATGATTCCATGAGTTAGCCATGCTTTGTTAGTAATTGAGAATAGGACATAAAATATGCAGGACAATATACAATCATGATAGTGCCGATCAGGTTACCATTACTTATCTGTGGAGTCTGGACAAAGGATCACTATGCCTATCCACCATTATTGCTTTCTGTGAAGCAATTAAATATGAATTTATGAATTTCAGGAGTTACCATGCAGTAATTCATCATCTAATCAAATCTTTTCTCTTAGCTCTCCATTCCAGATCATGACTCTAGTTTCTCAGTCATGACCCCCTCCTCTTCATCCTGCCAACCTCTCACCTCCCTCTCTTTTTAGGGGAGGTTGATGTATGAAAAAACAAATATCACAACAAAAATTATATAATCCACGCATCTTGTAACTTGAAAACCAGAAAAAAATCTCTCAAGTGATGATTTATTTTCCTTCTATTCTAGTGAACAAGTTGGGGATGTGGAATTAGATGATGTCTGGTTTGCCTATCCATCCCGCCCCAACCATATGGTTCTCAAGGTAAATTAGCTTCCCTGAACTCCCTATCAGACGTTATTGTGTGTTGATGTCATCCTGATGATAAAACTCAATACATTCTTTCAATTACAGGGAATAACATTGAAATTGCAGCCTGGCTCAAAAGTTGCTCTTGTTGGCCCTAGTGGTGGAGGAAAAGTAATATTTCTGTTTTTTTTTTCCTTTCTTTTTGAAGAAATACACTAAGTTCCTATGCTGCTTCAGTTCATATGCTTAACATTCCAATTGAAGTATTTATAAACTAAGTTTCAGATTTGAGACATAGGGTGGAGTTTCTTACACTTACTATTTTGCCTGTTACAGACCACAATAGCAAACTTGATTGAAAGGTTTTATGACCCAATTAAGGGAAAGATTCTCTTAAATGGGGTTCCTCTGGTAGAAATTTCGCATGAACATCTACACAGAAAGGTGATTTTCATTTTCCCTTTCCATTTCAGAAAAAAAAAAAAAAAAAAAAAAAAAAAACTTTGTTCCTCTCTAACGTAAGATGCTCTTATAAATTTTTGATATGCTTGATTAATTTTGTGTTTCATAGCTTGGTTCTTTTATGGTCTAGAGATTTTCTATCCAAAATAAACTCAGCCCTTCATTGTATTTGTACAGATCAGTATAGTGAGCCAGGAGCCTGTTCTTTTCAACTGCTCTATAGAGGAGAACATAGCCTATGGGTGTGAGGGTAAAGTCAGTAGCTTGGATATAGAAAATGCAGCGGTAAGTTTCTACTCTTTGAAAGTTGTAACCTGCCACACAATCCCTCTACTTAAACATTCAGCTTTAGCCTAATGTAACGGTGATATTGCAGAAAATGGCCAATGCACATGATTTCATATCAAAATTCCCAGATAAATATCAAACTTTCGTAGGAGAACGTGGGGTGAGACTTTCAGGAGGTCAGAAACAGAGAGTAGCAATTGCCAGAGCCCTGCTGATGGACCCCAGAATTCTCCTCCTTGACGAAGCCACTAGTGCTTTGGATGCTGAAAGTGAATATCTAGTGCAGGTCAGTCTACATGTTAGCTTTAGCAGTGTTTTAGATATTAGAAATGAATATTCTTTTCCTAAAACTTGATATCGCATAGAATTTTTACAAGTTTTCTCGTGATGGAATGTTTTTCAGGATGCCATGGATTCTCTGATGAAGGGAAGGACTGTTCTAGTTATAGCCCACAGGCTATCAACAGTTCAAAGTGCAGACACTGTGGCAGTTGTTTCTGATGGTCAGATAGTGGAGAAGGGCAGTCATGAAGAGCTCCTTTGCAAGGATGGGGTCTACACTGCGTTAGTGAAGAGACAACTACAAGGACCAACAACACAAAGTCTAGTTTAAAACCCTTAAATATTTTGTTGGACGATGAACAAAAACAACTAATACAGTCAAGATGTGGACTGTTCAATGAAAAGTAGAAACGCTTCCACGTTTCCTTACACTGACATGCAGAAAGGAGAGAGAAATAAAGAGAGGGTTCATTCGGCCTGTTTTGACCATGGATTTTCGCTTTAATTTATTTATATTGGAGAAAAAAATTTGTTTAAAGCGGTTTCAAGTCATAAAATAATTGAAAAATGTAGAATAGAATCTCAAAACATTTGGAATTTTTTTATTTTGGTTTATATTTGTGTTTTTACTTGTATTAAAATGAGTTTAAAAGTTTTTAAATGAGTCTTTTAACCTTATATCAGTTATTTTAAGGTGCTTTGGAATTAAAAAAAAAAAAACTACGAAAATAAGTTTACAAGGTTGGAAGCTGGTACTTTCAATTTCTGACGATTTTGCATGCGGACAATGCGTTGTCTACAAGCCTAAAGGCACAGGCCTCCCTTGTTTTTCCTTTTTCTTTAGCCATTTTTTTTAAAAAAATTATAATTGAATTTTGTGTGAAAATTATGGATAAACAAATATTATGTTTTTTTGTCTTTTCATAGCCTGACCATATTTTTCAAATTATATTGCCTTTATTAATTAAAATTCATTTATTTATTTTTGTTATATGAAAATTCTCATATAATTAATTTTTTGTTTTTATTTTTTATAAAATTTTATTTGTTAATAAATATGATTTATTTTTCTTTATGTTTTTTATTCCATAATAAAATTTGTAAATATGATTGATTTTCATACAATTTGTCTTAAGAGTTATACAAAACAAAAATATACATACATATACACACACATATATATATATAGTTTTTAAAACAAATAATTAATAATTAAATGTAAAAAGTGAAAAGTGAAAAGTGAAAAAGAAGAAAAAGAAGAAAATTACTCTTCCTGCGAGGCCTCTACAAAAAGACTAAGCATATATGGCATAGCAACAAAAATATTTTTTAACTAATGAAAAAGTATCTTATTTACTTCTTGATAAAATCAAAATTAATTTGTAGTAATTTTTATTTTAGTTTATTGACTTTGGATCTATTAAATATATTTTTTATAAGTATTTTTTAAATATTTTTTATTTTATATTGCAAAATCTAAACTTACTCGGTATATATATATATATATATATATTATCCATCATTACAAAGAATACAAACCATTTACTATTTATTTATTTGATATTCTGAAATTGATTTCTCTTAAATAAAATAATATTTTAAAAAATCACTAAATTACTCAAATAAAGTTTTTATTATAATATAATTGATTATTCTGATGGCCAGATAGTGGAGAAGGGCAGTCATGAAGAGCTCCTTTGCAAGGATGGGGTCTACACTGCGTTAGTGAACAGGCAACTACAAGGACCAACAACACAAAGTCTAGTTTAAAACCCTTAAATATTTTGTTGAACGAATAACAAAAAAAACAACTAATACAATCAAGATGTGGACTGTTCAATGAACAGTAGGAACGCTCTCACGTTTCGTATATTGGCTAGATTGGTACCCACGTTATATTGCGGTCGGACAACCTTTATATACGTAGTGTTAATGATTCGTATGATATATTATGAGTAAAATTTTTATTTTCGATGATTAATGTAAATCGAATATATATATTGAGCGAAATCGCTTAATCTATAAATATAGTTATCAACAAAATATTTAATAATATTAGTATAAAAATTTGTATTTGAATAATTGGAAAGTTTCTTCAAAACATTATGTAACTTATTTTATTTTAAAAAATAAATTTTAGAGTATAAAAAATAAATAATAAAGAATTGGTATTATGTGTGCAAATCTATAGTTAATTTCTAATAAAAATAATATATATATATATATCATACTTAATGATTCGAAGTATATAGAATAAATATAAAAATATACAAAAAAAACCCACCTAAATTGTATGAAATATATTGAAGTCAATAGAGTAAAAAAACTACAACAAAATTGATTTAAAAAAAACTACAACAAAATTGATTCTGATAAATTTTGAATAAATATATATATATAAAATAAAACATTTGATTTTTTTTAAAAAAATTGAGCCAAACTATCTAAACACATACTTTTATCTCTCTCTCTCTCTCTCTCTCTCTCGTGTGTGTGTATATATATAATTAAAATTTATAAATTATAATAATATATTTTTAAAATATAAAACAAAAAATTTTTAAAATTTTATTCCAAAATTTATATATTAAAAAAAATTATCAACAAATAAAGTTGTATCAAAAAATTAATTTGATGAGAATTTTAATAAGAAACAAATAGTTGAAGAAATAAATTTTAAACAATAAGAGTAATATAATAAAATATATATGTTCAAACTAAAATCTTAAAAAATATCATATATATTCTATCATCTTCAAATTGTACTTAAAACTAAAAAAAAATAAAAATTTATTTTCTATATTTTTTGCATCTAATTTCATGATAATATATATATGAAGGAAAAAAAAAAACCAGGCTCGCTAAATTGTATAAAATATATTGAAGTCAATAAATTAAAATAAAAAGCTACGATAAAATTGATTGTAATAAAATCCGAATAAATATATATAAAATAACAAAGAAAACTTATGACTTTTTTGATCGATTATTAATTTTTTAAAAAATTAAGCTAAACTATTTAAAATAGATTATTATATAAAATCAAAATTTATAAATTATAATAATATATTTTAAAAAATAAAACACTCATTTAAAAAGTTTAAAAATAAATTATTATATAAATCATAATAATATATTTTAAAAAGACACCGACGTTCTAAAATTTTATTCTAAAATTCATATATTATAAAACCAAATTTATTAACAAATAAAACTATATCAAAAAATTTATTTGATTAGAATTTTAATAAGAAACAAATAATTGAAGAAATAAAATTTAAACAATAAGAGTAAAAATTTTAAAAAAAGAAAAAGAAAAAAGTAATAGTGAAAATTAAAAAAAGAAAAAAGAAAAAAAAAAACTAAGATTGAGTAGTATAGTGTAAGGGGAAAGTAAATCATCGATCCGTGTGAAAAAAAAATAACGATCGATTCTTAAAAATTTTAACACTCAATCAAATAAAAAAAGAACATAAATTGATGAGGAAAAAAAACATATAATGCATAAGCTAGGGATTAAAATTTTTATTTTAAAATTTTAGAGATAAAAAAAATAATTTTAAAATTTTGAAAAAACCTAAGGGTGAAAATTAAAAAAAAAAATAAACTAAATAATTTTAAAAAATTAAGAAAATAAGTAAGAGTGAAAATTAAAAAAGAAGGGAAAGAAAAACTAAGGTTGAGTAGTATATTAAGGGTTTGAAAAAAAAAAAAAAAAAAACTATTCAACTCGAACAAGTACTACGTGATGGTTACTTGTTTATACTTGTTCATTTGAACAATAAAACCACCTTACATTTTAGTTTATAAGTAATATGCTAGTATTATTGTGATTTTCATGCATTTAATATGCAGAAAGGAGAGAGAAATAAAGAGAGAGTTCATTAGGCCTCTTTTGACCATGGATTTTAGCTTTACTTTATTTATATTGGAGAAAAAATTGTTTATAATGGTTTCAAGTGATAAAATAATTGAAAAATATAGATTAGGATTTGAAAATATTTTGAATTTTTTTATTTTGATTTGGACTTGTGTTTTTACTTGTATTAAAATGACTATAAAAGTTTTTAAACAGTTTTTTAGCCTTATATCAGTTATTTTAAAGTGTTTTGGAATTAAAAAAAAAAAACTATGAAAATAAGTTTAGGAGGTCGGAAGCTGGTACTTTCAATTTCTGACGATTTTGCATGCGGACAATGCATTGTCTACAAGCCTAAAGGCACAGGCCTCCCTTGTTTTTTCCTTTTTTTTTTTTCTTTTTTTTTCTTTTTTTTTTTTTTAATTATAATCGAATTTTCTTTGAAAATTATGGATAAGCAATTATTATGTTTTTTTTTCCATAGATTGAACATATTTTTCAAATTATATTGCCTTTATTATTTAAAAATTCATTTCTTTATTTTGTTATATGGAAATTCTCATCTAATTAATTTTTTATTTTTATTTTTTATAAAATTTTATTTGTTAATAAATATGATTTATTTTTTTTATGTTTTTTATTCCATAATAAAATTTGTAAATATGATTGATTTTCATATAATTTGTTTAAGAATTTTACCCAAAAAAAAAATAGTTTTTAAAATAAATAAATAATAATTAAATGTATAAAGTGAAAGAAGAAGAAAATAATTACTCTTCCTGCGAGGCCTTTACATAAGGACTAAGCATATATTGCATAGCAACAAAAATATTTTTTAACTAACGAAAAATTATCTTATTTACTTCTTGATCTAATCAAAATTTATCAAAATTAATTTGTAGTAATTTTTATTTTAGTTTGTTAACTTTAGATCTATTAAATATATTTCCTATAAGTATGTTTTTTTTAATTTTTTTATTTTATATTGCAAACTCTAAACCTATTCGGTATATATACATATATATGATTTTATTATAAATTAATCATCGATCTATACAAAGAACACAAACCATTTACTATTTATTTATTTGATATTCTGAAATTGATTTCTCTTAAATAATATATATATGATTTTATTAGAAATTAATTATCCATCTATACAAAGAACACAAACCATTTACTATTTATTTATTTCATATTCTGAAATTGATTTATTTTAAATAAAATAATTAAAATAATATTTTTAAAAAATCACTAAATTACTCAAATAAAGTTTTTATACTAATATAATTAATTATTTTATTAATAAATATATAGAAAGCTTGTGTACATATTTTTAAAAATTAATTTTCTCATCAATATTAAATAAAGATAAAATTTATTTTTTTCATTTTTAAATTTTTATACAAATTTTTACATTAATTGTTATTTTATTTTTTCTATATAATCTTATAAAAAAATATTAGGGCATTTTTTATTTAGGATTAAATTTTATCTTTAAATTATTACAAATTTTATTTAAGTCCATGCATAAACATGCAAAAACAAGAACAAATCATATATTTTTTAAGGAGAAAAATTACAACAACAACAATAATAAAAGAAATAACTAAATACAAAATTTTGGTTAAAAAATTATAAAATTTGACAAAAAAATAATTTTACTTTTGATTTGATATATTTTAATAAAATTACATCATAACATGAGCTATTAAACTATAAAAATCTTTTCAAATGATTTTATCTTTATAGCATGAGCAATAAACTAGTTTCTGGTTACAAAATATATATACTAGTTACCAATTACAATATATATATATATATAATGCAACTAATTCGGATTAAAGTGAGGATAACTTGTCATTAAGTCCTTATCATTTCAGATACTACTGACTAGGGAAAACTGAGAGGAGCCGATTTGCCAATATAATCCATGGATGACATCTCATTTTTGCGTATTCGGGCATTTGGATCACCTTTGGAAACTGTAGGCATATCAAGGAGACGAATAGGTAACCGACTCACAAAAAATTATAGAGAAAATGCCCTCACAATCTTAATAGTTAACACAAGAAGACATCAATAAAATATTGCACCCTCAGTTGAGGAGTTGACCTACTGTCTAGCAGAGCGAGCGTGGCTCTTTCACAAAAAGTAGAGGTTAAAAAATGGGCTAGTTTCTGTGATGGCAAGAGGCTAGGAAATTCGCCATTTCCAAACAGTATCGTAACAAGATAATCCATTTCTTGAAATTTACCTTGCTTGTAGCTGTATTTCACTTATCATGGCAATCGTTGCCTGCCCTGTTCACATGTTAAATTTTAATAATCCAATCCTGAGTGAGAAGCGCCAAACTTCCAGTAAATGCTGGTTGAGAGCTGGCAAGAGAGCACTCGCATGCACGAATCTCCCCTGATCGGTTCAAGAATAACTTGAATTTCCTTGCTTCAAAGCTTATAGCAACAAGTGACTGCTCGACAAAGTCTCTCGCCACATCTCCTGCTGAAATGCTTAACCAAAATTCATAAGCAAAACCACTTAGCCAAATGCCATTGGAATCATGAAACAAACCTCCAGAGCAAATGTTACCTTGGTTCCGTTAGCTAGGCCCCTCAAGACAAAAATTTTGTAGGCACTCCAGTCTTTCTCTGTTACTTATTCCAACCAATGAGCTGGAATTCCTTGTATGGTGTCCAGGAAATCAGAAAATTGGATATCAAAAACCAATCCAATAGATTTCGAGAACCATTTTTCTCTAACACAAGGATTTCCACCATGCATCAATAGAAGTATAAAACTGCCTCTCTGCTGAGATTACAAGAAGAACAACCTCACTCAGCTGCATCTTAGGCTTAGCAAATCATGCTCCTCTGCTAAACAAGACCTTCCATGAAGGCCTTCATGTTCTTCACATCTTCTTTCGAGTCAGGATCCTTTTGTTGGTGTTTAAAAAGCTTCCATAATCCCGCTGGATGTTGGCTTTTTACTTGAAAATCTCCTGAAAACCTTCCAAACATTTTTTCGCATTCTGGATATGGCTTGACATACATATTATAGAATCTAAGCCTACTTAGCTTGATTATACCCTTCAATCCTATCTCATCTCCAAGTCCACCTTTTGCACGCAAAAACTCTATCACCTTGTATCTAGGAACAATCTGCTTCTCAAAATTCACGCCCAAATACTCTGGAACATCAACCAAGCAGCCGACATTAAATCTCATAGTGTTCACAAGAAACTCAATCTTCTTCTCAATGTCATCTATATCATATAAAATGACCCTTGGCTCTTTCCACAAAATCTTCAATGCTTCTCTGCGAATCAACCCATGTTTGCATAAGCAGTCAACTCTTAGTTTCACTTCAAACCCAGCTATAAATGCTCCCTCACTAAAGACAGCCAATTTGATCGGTTCTCGACATTTCAAAGACCTAATCAAGTCCAGACACCTTGAAAGTTCACCTACTTCCATACCAAAAACCCGTGGCTCTCTAATTATCTCATTCCTAACCAACTCTTTACTGAAACCCAAATCCTGAAACTCATTAAGCAATGGAATTAGCCTATTTTCGATTCCAAATCCTAAAACCTCAGGAAATGAATTGAAAACCCAGTCAAGGCCATCTCTAGGAATTCCAATTCCCATCAAAAATTGAATTTTCTTATGTATTTCGCTTTCCTTCAAAGCAATCACTCGAGGAAAACCCTCTAAAACCCTCCTTGTAGTACCCTCACTAAACCCTAAACCCTTCAAAAGCTTCAAAGTCTCATTAAACCTATCTGGCTCAATCTGGAATATCTTAGAATGCTCCAAAACACTTTTGATGAGCAATGGAGAAACGCCCAAATCGGCAAGTTCTGAAAAAGCCATTTCCCATTTCTTCAAGAAATCAAAGTTCAAGACCCCGGGGCAGTCATTGATAAGAGAAACGATAGATTTGGGTGGAATCTTGAAAGATGCTAGGAGAATACTAAGGGATTTCTCGATATCATGTAAATTGGAATTCAAGAGAGAGCGATTTCTGGAAAGGAAAGTGTGGAGCTGAGTGGGAGGGAAACCGTACCTTTGAAGGAGAGTGGAGAGGGAAATCTGCTTCCTGTAGAGGGATTGATTTGTGGAAAACAAAAGGGGTTTTGGTGTAAAGGGTGCAGAGAAGTGATGGAGAGGAGTTGTTCGAAGAAATCTACGAGCCATTGATAGCATAAAGGCTCCTCAAGCTCAGTTCTCAAACTCAACTGTTGAGGAAACGAAACTGGTTTGTTGGGTGCAAGGCTGTCCTTGGCAGCTATTTGGTCTTGGTTAACAGTTGCAGAAGTGTTTTTACTTTTTCCTTTATTTTTATTGTATTTTTTATTTGATTTTTTTTTTAATATTTAGTTTCTGTCTTAATCTCTTTTGTTCATCAACTTTTGCACTAACGGTATTAATATATATGTTTTTTAATCTTAATTTCATCGCTCTATTCTATTTTTCATCTTAATTTCATTTTTAATCAAATTTAGATAACTAAATTTTGAAAAATTTAAAAAAGATCGTAAAAAAAAGTAAAAATATATTTGGTGATTCTCTCTAAAAATTGAAAATAGAAAAAAACTAAGAAAATGTAAAGATAAAAATAATTTTTTATCCAAAATATTTTTTATGGAGTTAAATTTGTTTTTATAATAATAAGCAAAGTTTGAGTATAAAAAAATATTTAGAGTGATTTTTTTTTAATGTGAAGAGAGTTTTAATTAAAAATTAAAAATAAAAAATATAAAAATCAAAATAAGATTTATAGTAAACCCTTTTAAGGTATTATAAAATTATAAATATCATTCAAAAGTTTAAAATTTAACTAAAAATATTTTCACCTTTAAAAAAAAATACTATAAATATTTTATTTTATATTTAAAATTTGCTTACTCATAGACATAAATTTAAACCCACAAAAGATATTTTAGATAAACAAAAATATTTTCAATTTTATTTTTTATTTTTTTATTTTTAATTTTCGAGAGTGACTATATATATCTTCACTTTTTTTCCTTTTTTTATTTTCCAAAAATTATTTATTTAAATTTGATAAATAAATAAATAACAAGATTGAGACAAAAAAAAATAATAATAATAAAGGGATGAGATTATGATTAAGGAAAAAAAACAAGTGACGCTAGTAGTGACGAGATAAAGACAAAAATAAAATGTTGAATGATGAACTTAAGATGAAAACAAAAGTAAAATGATACGATAAAGGCATAAGTAAGAGTAGAAAAAGCTTTGCTACCATTAACCCTATTTGGTTTGAATTTCATTTCTTATAGTTATAGGATCAACTTGTTTGTAGCTACCATTCCGTTTCTTTTCATCTTTTAACCTTGTCAATAGTTGCTACCTTACCGATGCTTCGTGTCGATATCAATTATTGAACTCTAGTTGCTTGTGTTTGGAATTGAACACAAAACCTCGAGATCCAAAGAAGATTGGTAATCTTGCCATTACTTGTTGATTTAGGAACTTTAGGAAAAAATGAAAAAGATAAGAATAATATTATTTTTTAAATAAAATTGTTACATTCAAATTTGGTTAGAGCTTGATAGGCTAACAAATTAACTAAAGTTTAATGAAACTTTGGTCACAAAGCCCATGCTATAGGCTATAGGACGCCCAACATTTATGTCCACAACTTAAGCCCATCCGGAAACGAAGCCTAAAAGAGTTAAAAGACATAGAGACTTAACGGAATTACATCATGGACAAAGGATATGGGAAGTCAAGTCATATTTAAAAAGAAATTCCAACAAGAAAGTAACTAATTCGAACGATTGAAGCATAGGCTAGAAATAAGAGGGACGTGTGAACATTGCAATGAATAAGTGAAAATACTAGAAGACATGGAAGATTGCAACCAAAGGCAAACATAGAGCATTACATATCAAGATGGGAAGCTATGAGATGGTGCAATTCAAAAACGTGACTAGTAAAGAACGATGTAGAAAAATGGAAAGGTTATAAACACCAATTACAACCCCACAAATAAAAAACAATAATACTCTTGCAAATTATTAGTATTACCTTTCAAATTGTTTCAACACTTGAAACATAATTGGCAATAGTTTGTAATCGGTAATTATAGGCTATAATCAAGAAGTAGTAATAGTAGGCTGGTAAATCATCTCTAGTTCGATTTTTACTTTCATTGCAACACATATAGATCTCGCCTCTCTATGTTTGAAGTTTAAATTGGTGTATATTCTTAAGTTTCTGTCTATAAGTTTTTTTATATATATATTTCTAAAGTCATTGTCATATATATATATATATATATAACTTTTGATTTAGTACCTATCAATTTCAAGTTTTTGTTTAACTTTGCAATCTATAATTCACGGTTTCTAGTTATTATATTTGCCATACATTTGTGTTATAATCTTACAACCCCAATATCTTGAGCGACCTAAAGCCCCTTTCAAGGGATTCTTAAGTCATTACATCTTAGTATAGGTAGTAGGTGTTTTTCATTTAAGTGTTTAAGTATCTTTATAATCAATAGTAAGATAAACCATGTTTGATAATTTTAACCATCTAATTCAAAGTTTGGAAGATAGATCGCTTTGCATACTTGTCTTCTATCCATCTTATAATCCTTTTATTTCAAAATCCTCTTAATTAACACCAGTAGCAAAAGAATTGACAACCAAAAGAATAATCTCATACATGTAAATCAAAATAAACAAATTACTTGTTTTAAGTGTCATTACATGATATTTACGGAACTTCTAAATTTTTTGGTCTAATGGAAAAGAATTAGGAGGTTTTTAGAGTTGCCACCTAGTATTGAAGGAAAGTAAAAAACCTAAAAAAAAACACTAGATTTAGAGATTTCAAGTAAGGAATTAGTTATGCATTTAGGAAGATAACAATCACCGGAGGCATAATTTCTAAGATAGGGTACCGGGTTTAGTCTAACTCTAAAAATATCTCTTAAAAGGCTATATTTGCCTAATTATTTCTTAACTCTATTTTCCAAGATTATTTTTCACTTGGGTTAAATTGATTTTTTTTTTAATTTTTTATTGTGAAATAGTATTAAATTGACATCATGTCCCGAAATGGAGAGTCTCGTCAATTTAGCATTAGATTCAATTACGTCCCGATATGATCGGTATGTCGAAAAATGACCTAATTAACTATGGATATTTGAGTGACTTACTAGCTAATCATTTCCATTTTGATTTTTTATATAATTTTTATTAGAGGATCAAGATTAATATTAGTCCTTATTTAAATAAGAGGCTTATTAATTCTATTAAATTTTTCAACCTATCCTAAGATGATTTTTTTTAATTATTAATTAAACTTGATATGGGATCATCGTTAGTCCACTAGGACCAAGGAGACTCAACGATCCTACAACTAGCCCGATATTATTCATTTAAAAATAAAAATATGCATGACATAAAAAAATACAAAAATAAATATCAAACGGAATCTAAATTTAGCAAAAACTTTAAAAGAACTTAAAAACACATATATACACATCCGTAACAATTTTGTGCCAAAATTACATCGGGAACATGCCTAAATAATTTAGTTCCAAAACTTCGCTTTTGCCAATAATTAAATAATAGTAGAATAATGAATAAATTGTAAATAAATATCAAATGATGTTAAAAAATTATGAAATTTAAAAAATAAGCTAAGGACAAGCATATGTACAACATATAAAAATTTCAAAAAAAAATATTAACCATGTCAAACAAAAAGAGTCCCAAAAACAATCTACTATGCTAATAGTGCTTGTTACCTATGAACCTTATGCTCGTTCCTTCTTCCAAACCCCGAGATATAAACAAGTTTTTTTTTCTTCCTTCAAACTTCAACTTTCTATTCCTTCCACTAATAAAGAGTTAATGAAAACCTCACCTCTTTTCCTTCTCTATCCAAATAAAAAAAATGATTTCCCCTCTCAATTCCTACTCTCTCTACTTTTTAAGTCACCCAAAATAAAGAGCTTTCTTCCAAATACTAAAAACTAAGCCCCCTCTCTTTTTTCTTTCTTCGATTATATATTCCTCCTCTTTCTAAACCTCACCCTCCATTCCGCTTGAAAAGATCTAGGCCTCTCTTTTTTTGCCAACCAAACTCCCTCTTCTATTTGTCTCTATATTGGGGATATCCTTTTTTAAGCCAATCCACTAAAGACTCTTCCTTACCTAAAGACTCATTCAAAGTCGCCATCACGAGTCCTCCGTAAATGCTACTCGTCATGCACTCTATTTCTACCAAGTCTCCATCCTTAAGCTGTTGTACATTCTACCTCTGTAAAGTCTTATGGATATAGACAACAACTAGTCTATGTACATCTCTATCTCTTTGTAACCATGCAAGTTTATCTTTATGTATAGTTCTATAAATAAAATTCAATACAAACAATATAAATACGGTAGTATTTTATATCAATTCACATCTCTCCTCACTTAAAGACTCATTCGAATTTTTTTTCTTTTTCTATGTCCGTTGCCATCTCTCATAAATGGCTAGCTCTAGTAATATCTCTTCTCATGCTACTTCTTTACCTAAATCCATATCTCCACCTTTCATTAGCCAATTGACCAATGCTCACCATTTTTTCTCTCCGAAATTAACCACCACTAACTTTTTGCTTTGGCATATTCAAATGAAACCTTTTCTCTATGGACAAGGCCTTTTTGGTTTTGTTGATGGCTCACATATATGCCATCCTAAACACATTACCTTTGAAGATGATAGCCTACCCATATCCAATCCTGCTTATCTAGCTTATGTTCAACAAGATCAATTGCTCATGAGCACCCTATTTGCCTTTCTCTTTACTGATGTTACGCCCATGGTAATAAACTAGCTACATCCTATGATGTATGGACTATGCTAAAAACGACACTTGCTTCTCCCTCTAGCACACGTATTATGACTCTTCATTTTGCTTTACAAAAGTTACGCTTGGAGTTGAATGAATTCGTCCCTCAATTTTTTCAGCATGCTAAATCATACAATGATGAACTTATTACTGCTAGTCACCCTCTCCAGCTAATTAATTTTAATTTATATGTCTTCGAGGGCTTATCTAGAGACTTCAAGAATATAATCACCACATTATCTACTAGATATGAACCGGTTACCTTTGTTTATCTTCACTCCTTAGTCATAAATTTTTACATAAAGAATCTGATTTT